TGACCCCAGAAAAAAAAAAAAAAAAAAAAAAAAAAAAAAAAGCAGCCCTGGAATGCTATAAACTGAGCTTGATAGGAAATTCTGGTTGGAGCTCAGAAGACCACAATGTCAATAAAAAGTGGATGGTAAAGACCAGGCTCAGCCCATTTCAGCTGAGAATAAAGACTCCATTGGCAATGAACTCTAGGTCGTGTGTTATACTCTGGAAGAAAATTTGTCTACATTTTGCTCATGTCATGAGTCTGTGGGAGTTTAACATTAAGGGCAGTGGACTAATCTGGCAGAAGAAATTTCAAGACAGCTCAATGTTGAGGTTGTGGCAAGGGTATTGTTGGGGGACTTTTAGCCAACTCTATGTTGAGAATCAAGAGTAATCACAGCTGAGTCATTTTTAAAGTTTTGAGTTTCACCAGAAAGGAAGCCCCTATCAAGTTGAGGCCTTTAAAATTGGAGCAGAAGAGAGCTTGCTTGCTGAAAAGATTAAAATAGCCAGAGGCTTTACATCAGAACAATAGGAATGATGCCTTGAGGGCATGTGAGGAAACAGCAAGACCCTGCCCATCAGCCTGCAAAAGAAAAGGATGGATTTGAGAACAGAGCCCCAAGGTGCTGTGCTCAAGAAATGGCTGCCTAGGGATTTGTTCTCCAGGATTCAGTTCACCATGCTCAGCCATGCAGGTACCTGGCCATGATGCAAAAGGATCTGACACTGTTCCAGTTGACAGCAGACCTTGGCATCATCCACATGATGCCAGTTTTGTGTGTGTACAGAATGCAGGAATTACAGGGTCATGGAGTCTTCCACCTAGATTTCAGAAGAAGGCCTGGGAGGCCGGACAATGTTCCCCTGAAAAGGCAGTGTGTCAAGCTGTGAGACTGAAGGTAAAAGTGCAGTGGAGACCCCAGGAAGTTGGAGAAGCCAGGAACATGATATGTCTGAGCAAAGCAAGACCAAGAGAAAGGCCATAAGGGCTACAGTCACTACCAATGTCATAGGGGCAAGGCTGCCCAAGACTTTGGAGTTCACATCTCCTCACCACAACTTGTCCTGCACGGTGGAACTGCATGGTTTAATGTTTGCCCTGCTGGGATTTGGTCTTGCTTTGGTCCCATTGGTTTCTATCCCCATTCCTCTTGTGTGGAATTGAAATGTTTACCTATGCCATTACAACTCAGCAGTGTTTAACTTCCTGAGTTTTACAAGGGCTCACAGCTAAGAGTTTGCCTTAAATTTCAAAGAGACTTTGGACTTGGACTTTTTAGCAATGCTGAAATTGTTAGGTCCTTAGCAACTTTTAGATTGACTAAATTCATTTTGCATAAAGGGATGTGCATTACTCTCTTGGGGGTCAGGGTGGAATGTTATAGTTTATACCTGAATGTCCCCCAAGAGGCTCCTGCACTTATAGGTGGGGCTTTTGGAAGGTGATTAGATTATGGGGGCTTGTAGTTGACCTGCTGTGAGGAGGTAGGATGTGATCAAAAGAGGTGGGTCACTGGGAACATGGCCAGGAAGGGTTTATCTTCCTTCTTGGCTCCCCACTCTGGCTGTGATTCCCCACTGCCTTGACTTGAGCGGCTTTTTCTCTGCCACACTCCTCTGCCATGCCACCCTGCCTTGGAGCCAGCTGTTTGTGGCCTGAAACCTCTGCAGAATAAACTGTTCCTCCTTTAAATTGTGGGTGTTGGGTATTTTGTTCTACTGACAAGTGATTAAGACATAATACATCTTAATTCTTAATTATTTTTACTTCCCCTTCTCCCCTCCCTCCATCTCTTGGTCCCCTTTCTATTTGCAAAAAATCTATCTAGACTAGGTACTATCAGCCTCATAGAATGAGTTTAGAATTGTTCTTTTCTATTTTTGCAGTACTTTCTAAAGCAGTGGAATTGATTTTTTTTTTTTATTGAATATTTGACAATTTCCCAGTGAAACCATCTGAAACTAGACTTATCTTTGTGGAAAGTTTGAAACTGCTACTTTGATCTTTTTATTTGTGTTAGATTTTTCTTTTTCAGATTTTCTTACTGATGTTGAGGATGAAACCCAGGTATTGTGGACACCTAAATTAATTAGAAATATTGTAGGCAGTCAGGTAGTGATGGCCCCTCAAAGAAGTGGATACAGAGGACAACTGTGGCTGGAGGCACATTCATTGTAGGTCATGCTTCAAGAAAAACAGGAATGACTACACCCACATATTTCCCCTAGGGATGAACAGCAGTGATTGATATTCTAAATAGGTGTCAATCACCTGGGTGGGAGAACAAGATTTTAAACCATCCCTTCCAGGAAAGATCCTTGACCCTTCCCTTCCCAGAAAATCCTTGTTCATTCCATATACCTTGCCCTGCTGGGATTTGGTCTTGCTTCCCATTGCTATGTGACTTGCTTCCCATTTGATCCCCATTTCATCAGTATTACCTATGTGACAATACTTGTTATAATCTTATTGGTTGACCATAGCTTGTTCCACTTCATACCCACCTTGTGATTTCCCATTAGATGAATTTTACATAAGTGACTCTGCTTATATAGACCATTATCTCATTGGGGGTGGGCCATCCTCTTCCATCCGTTAATACTAAAGCCACTAAGACAAAGACTACAGATTATCCCTGATTAATGATGTTATCCTTATACCCTTGTTACTCTTGGGTCAGTATTACCTAAGTGACTAAATATACTTGTAATCTTATTGGTTGATTATAGTTTTTATCCACCTTGTGACTTTGCTTTATAAAACCTTCTTTGAGAAGTGGGCTTGTTGGCAACCCATTTGGGGTTAAACCCGCCTCGCCTCAGAACCCACTTTCCTGGCCCCTTTTGTCTCTTTTGACAGAAGCTATCTCTCTCAATAAATACTGTAAACCTCCATTGTTCATAAAATTCATTTTTTGATTTTAGAGAAAAACTTGTCATTTCAAACATCTATAAGAAGCACTCACTGTCTCAGGACAAAGCAGAGAGAGCAATATGGCTGAGACGGCGTGTGCTTCTTATAGGCCTGGGGTGGGGCTTATAGGAGCTGGGGTGGGATTGAGTGATATAGTGGCTAGGGATTGGGGGAGCTTGTGACATCACTAGGAGGGGCTTGTGTCATCACTAGTTAGGGCCATCTTAAGGTGAAAGAAATCTAACCTTCCAGGCTTTTGTTTTATGGTTATTGGGCAAAGGTCTCTTCTTCTGGAGCTGCTTCAAGCTGACAGAGGGGCAAAGGTTGGGGCTAAACCTGGATCTGGTGGGGGCAGCAGTAGGTGGGAACTTTTTTTGCTCTGCCACAGTGGCTGATACTCCACCACGATGAGTTCTGTGACTGTCTGGTTGGTAAATGCCCTCATGTGTTCCTGCAACAAAACTTGAAAACAGCAAAGCAGACAGGGCCCTATCATGATTAAAAGGCATATACAAGCCAGTGGGCCCAACAAGAGAAGAAGCCAAAGCATAATTTGGGGACGCCAGGAGTAGCTCTGGTCTATTCCCAAGAATTTCATTGTCTTTTTACGCTCTTTGATGTGTTTCTGTAATTCTTTAAAATTTTCTTTAACAATCCCTGAATGGTTAACAGAATAACAGCATTCTTCACCTAGTGCCTATCACATTCCTCCTTGGGCTGCTGTGAACATGGCAAGGGCCCTTCTATTTTGTAACATGACTGCTGCTAGAGAATTTATTTGCTCTTGTACTGTATTTAAGGACTGGCTTATTTTATCCATGTCTTCTGAAATCTCTATGGACAGCGCCTGATAGAAATGTACGGATGTAGAAATGCCCACTATCCCCATTGCCATCCCAGTGAGGACCCCCGCTCCCATTAAGAAGGGAGACTAAAAGAGGAGCTGCCCTTTTTCTGATTATGTTCTATGGGAGAACTTGTTTAGACATCTGGGCTTCTGTATAAATGGTCATGGAAGGGCTAAGGAAGGATATGTAACAGAAAATGTCAGACTCATTGAGGCTTGGAATGCCACTTGATTACATATGAAGTACAGGCCTTTGGGCAGGCAGATGAGACACTCTTCTGAGATAAAGGGGGAGCAAACAAGACAAGTGATGTCATCTTGCCCCATGCATGTCAGGTTACTGGTTTGTGTAGGGAATGGGAGACCCATAGTGAAAGGTTCCAGATCTGTGGATAAATTGCCAGTATTTGAGATAAACAGGTTAAAATCTAGGGGGACAGGAATTGGAGTGAGTGAGTGGGAGTAAATGGGCATACACATAAACAGCCTGAGATATTGACAAGGAGATAGTAGAAGGTGTTATTAAATAGCTGTTGTAGCCTTTTTTGAGACTGGGTTTATCACTTGGAGATCTATCCCTTTATAGGGAGATGGAGTTGTGGGCCTCAGAAGTCTCTCTATTGCTGGTGCCTGTTCAGTGACTGCCTCTTTTGGTTATTCTTTTCTGCTGCGTGTTTTAAGACCATGTTAAAGTGAACCTGTGTTAATCAATAGGAATATCTTGCTATCCACCAAGGTCAGTTAAGTCTCTTTAGGCATTATTTTGGAACCATGCAGAGCGCCTCTCAGCTCTTCTGTCAGTGTCAACCATACGGATGGGTCATGGCCTTGCTTGACCAAGTTGTTTTCAGTGAAAGTGTGGGAGATTTTTTCTCTTGGTGATCCTCTTTTGACACATGTTACATTTGTTCTCTGGTGCTCAGGAGGTTGGGTGACTTACCAAAGATGTAAGGTGTTGTAGAAACAGTTCCTTCATACCTTGAATCTTTGATGGTCTTGGAGGGCCAGAGCCGAAATATTGGTGGTCTTCTTAGCCTAGTTACCTTTTAGTGTTGGTCTCTGTCCTTTGGTGGTTGAACACCCAGAAGAGAAGATCAATGACATCAGTAGTATAGTAGGAGCTTAACTATCATAACTTTATCTAGATAGCAAGCACCATGGAATCTAAAATACAGTTAGAAGGCTATTATTTTTGTCAATCATGGTTGTTTTAGTGGTTGATTTCCTGTAGAATATTAACAGAAAAAAACTTGTAATCAGGAGCCACACATAATAATAATATTTTAACACAACAATCATGTTGACATTATCTTTGCAACAAACTTAGATATGTATCTTAGTATAAAATAGCCATTGTTAAATATATTTATTCCCCTCTAAAAACACATAAAACAAAAAAGTGGAACTCTTGTTATTACCTTTTGATAGGATGCCATGTGAGGAAAGTGTATGGACCTCCAAATGCACCTGTAATCAAGAGTGGGTGGAGCAGAAGAGAAGGGCAAATACCTCGATCAAAAGGTTATTGTCATAAACAATATGTTGGAAGGCCTGCATAGTCAGAAAACATGAACATATTTTGTATACCAGAAAAATAGTAATACTAATTATTATAATTAAATAAAACCCTATGTCCTGTAGTGTAGCCTGGTACCAAAAGGATCTTTTTAAATAACTACTTGTTTTTCCACAGAAAATACTGTATTTTGAAGATGGCCATTTTAAACATATCACAATTACATATTTAGAACTCAACCCTTTGTTGATAACCAGTGTAAACATTTTATAACAACATATTTAGTGATATTTATTGGGGGTATATCTTCCCATAAGGCTATGAAAATTATTGGGGCTCTCATTATTGAACAAAGACTAGAATAAATTTTTATGAGCAGTTGCTTCTTTATTCACCAACAGGAGTCTATCCAAACTTAAAAGTTTATATTTAATTATCTAGACAATTTTTTATTTAACCTGTAAAATCAGGTTGCAGAAATTAACAATTTATCTGTATCTTTAATGTCATTTTGATAAAGAAATATAACTGGACAAACACTTTCAAACAATTGGACAGACACAGACAAACATGTAAGACAATTTATGAAACTATAGTGCACTCAAATATATTTGGCCAATTATAACATCTTTTAATTAAGACTAGTAAAAACTTCTGCAGATCAATTAACAGATCTCTTGCAATTAGAATCAGAAATAGTAAAAGTGCTTTATAACTAGCATAATCTTGTGTTACAGTTATTGTCTGAAGTCTGTAAGCAGAAAGTAGAGAGAAGGTCAAGTTAATCCTATAGTTACAATTTAAGTATTTGCAATGTAAAATAAATGTTTTGTTTTGGTTTGGTTTTTTGTTTGTTTGTTTATTTTTTTTTGAGACAGTGTCTCACTATGTAGTTGAGACTGCCCTGGAACTCACTGTGTAGGCTGGGCTGGTCTTGAACTCATAGTGATCCTCCTGCCTCTGCCTCCAGAGTGCTGGGATTACAGGTGTGCAGCACCACACCTGGCAGAAATGTTTTAAATACATCAATTAAACATTTGGAAACCAAACACCAGTCAAACATTATTTTAAGTTGAAGATGAATGGTACATTTGTCAATTAGCCAAAATTTATAATTTGTTTTTTGGGTTTTTTTTTCTTTTTAAAGATTTTCCTGCCTGGCAGGACATCACAGCTGATTTTACTATGGAGCAAGCAGTCTGTAGCCAGCACTGGGCTGTAACCTAGCATTTGGTCTTTGAGCTCCAATCTTAAGCATTACATTTTCTTTGAATTGTTTTAAAACCTTATATTTTATTTTCAAATGTTTATGTAGAAAACAGTAGGGCCCAATGGAATTTCTTGGTAATGTAGCCTAAAATTGGCAAGGGCCAGGAAAGGATATTTTTTCAGTCTTGCTTTCCTCTGTTCTGAGGAAACTGGGGAAGGAAGAGCAAGCAGAGAAGTGGTTGTTAACTCACTCTCCTTTTTGGGACGGACTGGAGGAGCAGGGAGAGCATGGGTATGTGGTGGAGAGATGTACAATGGGAGAGATGAGGAAAGGTCACAAGATGGTGGAGGAGATGAAAGAGCTGGCCAGGTTATCGGGAGGGGGAGGTGTGAGTGGTGAGTGATCAGCTGGATTGAAGGTGGAAGTCAGGAGGACAGAGTTTGGGCTAGAAGTACCTGAGAGGGAGAACAGGTTTGACAGAAGGAGGGGTGAGAAGGAAGGCTTGTAGGTAGGGATTTCTGACTATTTGCCATTGCGTTGACAAAAACTGTGTAAATTGCACATACGTTAAAATTGAAAATGCCATTTTGAGGCCATTGAGATTTATTATCTAATTTATACTGAGGTCAAACTTGGTTGCAATAAAAAATGAGTTGTTTTGGCTTAAAGTCGGGTCCCAGCAGTCCAAGGAAATGACGTTGTGCCCGGAGGCAGCCAAGAGGCATTGAGGGAGGGTGTTTGGATTGTTGGGTGCCCGTGTTAGGGTGGGTGAGGAGGAGTTAGCTCCCTAGGAGGAGGTCAAAAAAGAGGAATGTCTTCATCTATTTTGATACTCCCTGAGCCAGTATCTAGAAGGGGAGAACGAGAGGAGTTGGGCTAATGGGGTGTCCCCCCAGGGGCACGGTCCTGGGCCCAGTGGCCCGAGAGGGTCTCTCTGAGCAAGTGCTTGAATTTTCAAGTAGTCCCCAAAGGGAGAGAATGAGAATGAGACAGAGGACTCAAATAGAGGGAAGCTAACTACTCACCCTGAAATCAGTGAACCGTGTGGATATGTGTCATCAGCAATGGCAAAAGTAGAAAGCCCCAAGGAGGTCCTGGCGTGGCAGATGTAGTCCAGAGGAGGTGGCTGAAAGGCCAATCAACCCTGGCCCGCAGGGGATTGTCACTTAATCGACTGCCTTCCTTCTGGGTGTTGGCACCAGATATGTTAGGTAAAAAGAGCCAAAAACCAGGACCAGACCAGCACCATAACAAGCCTTTATTATGGGGAGGGTCTGTCGGGCTGTCTCTGAACAAAGGAGAGAGAGCAATTTGGCTGAGACGTCGTGTGCTTCTTATAGGCCTGGGGTGAGGCTTATAGGAGCTGGGGTGGGATTGAGTGATGTAGTGGCTAGGGATTGGGGGAGCTTGTGACATCACTAAGAGGGGCTGTGTCATCACTAGTTAGGGCCATTTTAAGGTGAGGGAAATCTAACATAAACTTGTAAAGAGTTTTGTGTTCTGCTTTTACTGTGCAGAGTATTCTACAGATGTCTGTAGTTCTGGTTGGTTTATAGTGTTTGCCTCAATCACTTTCTCAGTGCTGGAACAAATTTCCCAACACCCACAGTTTAAAGGAGAGGTCTGTTTTGGCTCCTGTTTTCCACCTTAGTCTTATGGCTGTGAGGAAGTCCTTGATAAAAGGGTCTGGGTGGAGGAGAGCTGCGCATCTCCTGAGGACCAGGAAAGAGAGAAAAGTGGGAGGTATTCTGTACCTTTCCAGGTCATACTCCCAAAGGATCCCCTTTTCTGACCCGACCCCACTGCCTAACAAGTCAGCTGTGTGGCCTTTGGAAAGCCCCAGCTGAGAGTGCAGGAGGCCATTGGGGAACGTTCTTGATCCTAGCTGTATCAGGTTCTCTGAGTCCCCTACCTTCTTAATAACCTTTTAGCTCATTTTTCTATTTATTATTAAAATCTGGTATTGAAATCTCCAAGTATGTTAAGGCTTCTATCACAGTTAAACAAACACAACTTTAATAAAAATTTCTGTGAGAACAGAAGAAAAACAAAAGCACATAATTGGAGCTGGAAAGCAGTCAGCTGTGAAGACATTTAGGGCTTAGCCTTAAAGCATCTTCAGTTGGAGGGAAGCAGGCAGAGGAAATAGGAGACATTTTCTGGGCTGCAGTGTGTGATGATTACTCTGGAGTATTTATAAAGCTGATCAGCCTCATTTAACTTTGCAAATAGCCTTGCCGCATAGGAAGCCAAGCCAAGGGTCAGCATTACCTGTGATTTCTGGTAAATTTTTTTTCTGAGGTTCTGAATCTGTTAGAAAGTGACATTAGTTTGTTTTATTTTGAGATGGGGGTCTCTGTGTTGCCTAGACTGGTCTTGAACTCCTAAACTCAAGCAATCCTCCTACTGTAGCTTCCTGAGTGGACACAGACCCGTGCCACTGTGCCTGGCATAGTGATATTCTGTACTTACTGCTAAGCCAGGTCACTAAGCCAGTAATGATGAACCTTGTCGAGTTTTCAGTGATAATAGCCAGCCATCTGCATCACGCATGTCGTAGGTTCATCACCACTGCCATAAGGAAAGTACATAAACAAATTACCAGACCATTTTTCCATGGAGTTCTCATTGGCTTCATTATACAGCTATTATTTTTGAGCTGTTTATTTTTCCTTTTAATTCTATCAGTTTTTAATTTCATCTATTTTGTTTGGTGTTAGATGCATATGTGCTTATAACTGTTACATTTTTATGATAGATTGACCATTTCATCTCTAGTAACTTTTTTTTTTTTGCAGTACTGGGGATTGAACCCAGGGCCTTCACACTGATTTACATCTCCAGCCCTTATTTAGTTCTTATTTTGAAACAGGATCTTGCTAAATTGCTCAGACTGGGCTGGACTTTGCTCCTGCCTCAGCCACCAGAGTGCTGGGATTATAAGTATATGCCATCACACTGGGTTTCTAGTGATGCTTTGTTTTAAAGTATCTTGTCTGACATTAGTATAGTATAGCTTCTGGGATCGTACATGATTTTGGTTTGCATGATTAGTAAATGTTTCATCCTTTTGCTTTCTGGTTATTTGTATAATTGGACCTAAAGTGTATTCCTGTAATTGGCTTATAAATGGATCTTCTACAAAAAAATCTAACCTGAAATCTGCCTTTGAATTGGATTAATTCACTTGTTTTTAATACTACTTAATTGCATATTATATTGTTTACACCTGCCATTTTACTTCTGTTTTTATTTTTTTTGTTTTTCCATTTCCACTTTATTACTTTGTCTAATTAAA